CAGCGTTGACTCATGTTCTGTGCCGTCTTAAAAATGAGCTAGTGTATTTTATACCCTCGTTTCTCTAATATAGATGTTGGTTAACGGCCAAATGCCGGCTCCTCCCAGCTTCCACGTGTTGTGTACCGACTTAGAAATGTCACCCCACCACCCGACCTCCATCATCCCCCATATGCTGTCTAGTTAACGGTAATACCGAAATACTGCCGGGGAATGAAAAGAGCCTGGAGGAACTCCTCATGCGCTGTGCAAAAACATTCGACGGCCCTAGCAGGTCGCAGAGGATGTTGTTTTGATATTTACACAGAACTGATTACCTTTTTATACAAGGGACATTTAACACCAAGATTGCAGTAATTCAGATAAGGGCGAGAAAGATTTCATAGAGTAAAACAATGGTGGGACACGGTTTAAGACCCCTGTCTGGAAGAAGGTATAGGCTAGTAGTCTGAGAAAGGCCAACTGCTCTATATTTAATTATTCGCCCTCAAAATCAACTATATGCACAACCATAGCAACATGAAAAGAATGGTGACCATAAGTATTCGACTCTACATAGTCTTTCATCTATCTACTTGTACTATTTGAGTAAGTCGAACTTAATATCTTCCCTTTCAGTCACTGGGGTTGGCGTGATATGCTAGCGTTCGGCATAAAATCAAGCGTGGGGGATTATGTGCTAGGAATTAGTGGTTAGGTTTAAGGCTTAGAGACAAGGGCTACGGCCAGGCTTGGGTGTTAAGACCGAGGTTTTAGACTTAGATTTACAGTAAGGGGTTGGACTATCAACGATTAAAACTTCGCTTCGGTCGCAGTCAGCATGGATTGAGATAATTTCGCCTAAAATCCCCGATTAACACCAGCCGTTTTCACTTTTTCCGTCCGTTTAGAACTTACCATTTCCAGTATTTCAAATATTGCGTTCAGGTATTTATGATGTTTAATTTTTTATATTTAAACAAGGTAATAGCTTAAATGTAAGTTTTAAATGTATGCTTCTGAGAGACATAAGCTATCTCTCAGTTAAATTTACTTAAGCCACGGGAACCATATTACCACTATTCCCATATTACAGGAGTCTGTGGCTCTAGTTTTCTCAATGAACTGTTGGATCGATCTTACCTTATCTGAATCAGCGGAGGTCGTGACGCTGCACTGCTCGCACAAATTGGTTCTGCCGCAGTAGGGCAGAGTCCGATGCAGTAGGATGCCCAACTGGCTACCCGGAGCGCTGTGCATTTCTGGGGGGAGAGAGGGAGGGAGAAAGACTAGTGAGTGGAGTCGCGACGGCGATGGAGAGAAAGGCGGGGGGAGGGGAAACAACAGATCAAAACGCGTACCAGGAGGGAAACGTTCCGACTTGCTGAAGAAGGTCTTCAAGGCGATAAGCTCAAAGTCCGGAGGCAGACCATCGGAGCGCATGAGGACGAGGTTGGTCTTCAAGTGACCAATCAGTTCGGGGTCGATGGTGGGCGAAAGTGCAAACTGCGAGGTGGGGTAGATGAGATCATTGAGGAGCCACTGAGATTCTCGCGTCAGACCGGGCAGAGGCTGAGTCATCAGAAAGAAAAGGAAAGACAAAGTCAAGTTTAATAACAGGACTATTGTTAAGCTTAGGCACGTGACCATCGAATAAACGTACTAGAGGAGACTTCTGTCGCGAGAATACATTAGTCAAGCTGAACAAAGGAAGGTGTCCGGGGGAGTAACAACGGTTTACAGAGAAATGCGTTTCGCATGTGAGATACAGGTGGATCGGGAATGTGTGGCACGCCAAGACGGGCGGCCGCAATGTCCGCACCCATCATCGGTGATTACAGAAAGGCAGGTGAAGGAGGAGAGAGTGCGGTAGACGCTGTGCAAGCCAGCATCATTGTAAACCGCTTGTAAAAAGACCGTGTAAGTTTCTGTTTTCTCTGTGGAAAACTGGAATTAGGTATCTATGTATTTTTGGGGGCGAAAAGCACATGGTTTACGCCAGCAGTGCAAGGAACTGGAGCGGAACGATCAATCAGAGGACTCCAAGAAGCACTATAAAAAAGTTAAAACGGCAGGAACTAGGGCGGTGTTTGCACGAACGAAGAGGATGCTAAAGACCTGAACTATTTATATATGAGAGTAAAAGGGACTGCCGTCACTGATGTCGTGATCCTTTCAAGTAGAAGCTTGTCTGCGGCTTAAAACGAAGATGCGGTGATTCAGATAGTCAGCACGTGTTAGGATGACCGAGCACGTCATCCAGACAGACAGACAGTCCGAGGTCACGCCAGAGCAAGGCGCGCGAACAGGCCAGTCCGGCGCATACAGAACGGGCTAAGTCACGCGACCTTCAAAGGGCGGAAATTAAGCCAGGACAAAGGAGGCATGCGCGAGCGGCCCTGCCCCGGGGCCGTGTTGCTGCTATCAGTGAGGTCACGCTGAGGACAGATG